ACTAAATTTCTGTTCCTCCAAATGCTCTCATTTCCGCCAACGAAAACATGAGATTCGCTATATTTCATATGCTCTAGGTGGAAGCAGTTCACGGTTATATTTGTATGAGGATAGACTGAGATAACTGTTTCCTGCTCACAAAATTGGCTTCTGAAGGATCTTCTCTGCAGATGATATTCAAATTACGTCATGGTAAGGCGCAAAGCGACAAAAGTGATTTCCTGACAGATTTTCAAAACGGTGATCAGCCAGTTTCATCATGGCATTTCCACGCTTCGGCGGTGATCCTCTCCCAGGCTCCAGCGAGATTCGAACTCGCGACCTCCAGTTTACTAGACTGGCGCTCTAACCAACTGAGCTATGGAGCCGCCTATAACCGCTTTTCGTCATGATGTTCGTCGTATGAGGACACGTAATATGAGTTACTGAGGTATAATAGTAAAAGCATTCTTTGTTAATTTCTGAAACCGCTAGAAGACGTAATGTAAAGGTAACTGCCGTTTCAAATCGTCATGCGCGCGTGATGGCGTGTTCCAGAGTTTAGGATTTCCGTACTTCTGTTTATAATTTCATATGCTTCAGCGGCGTTAATATTAATATTATTTCTAAAAAGTTTTGCATAGAACTTCACGGCTGTTTTCAATAGGACTGTCCCGTCAGTACCTGCATACGTATATTAGTAAGTTCCTGTTCGTGCAACGGCTTTCATTTCTGCCAATCAAAAAAATGAGATTGGCTTTACGTCATATCATCCAGGAGGGAGGAATTCACAGTTATATTAGTAAGAGAATAGAGTGAACCTTAGAAAAGTAACTTTGCAAGTGTACCTGAACGTTTTTTCACGTGACATAGGTTCTGAACTAGGCTCCAGCGAGAGTGGAACTCGCGACCTCCAGTTTACAAGACTGGCGCTCTAACCAACTGAGCTATGGAGCCACGCTGATTTAGAATCATTCCAAGAATTTTCTGATGACAGTTGCGATTCTGCGAGGATAAGGACAGTACGAGCTGTATTTCTCAAAAGTATATCGGCGGTATGAGTTCTGTCAATTACTGTCACGTTTAAAGGGATCAATGCTTTAGTAAAAAGAGCAATTTAACAGAAAGAGTCAAAGCCACCTTTGGAGATTATACTGCTTTCACCTCACTGTTGACTGGCTTTGGGAAGAGTATTCAATGGACGACAGTTTGTATAGTTAGTTAAGTGGTATTATTTCTGCTAATCTGAATTGGCTTTTCTACGCTATGTCTACTTCAAATGTCATCTACTGAGGAAGCTGACAGTACTGAAAGACTCCCTCATTAATAATACACTGCAATGATTTTCTACTTCATCTTAAGCAGTTTACGTGGCTTTTTCCCAGACGGATCAATCAGAGTAGGAATGTACATTGGAAGAGATCGCACGGAGCTGCTTGCATGATTTTCAGCTTCATGTGTGAATTTAGGCAATGGCAGTTGTCACGTATGGAAGAGCAGTAGGTGAAACATTATGTTACGCATTTTTTCATGTAATTCAGTGCATGTAGTTCACCTGAGTTAGTGAAGAGGAGAACCTCTGTCATTATTCGGTAGTACCTGAATTGTTGTAAAACTTAGGTGATGGATGAATGCTTTTAGGTCGTAACAGGGAGGCATGCACTAAATTCTGAGAGCTACTTAGTTTCTTAGCGTGTTTGTTAGTTTGTTTGCTGTTAGTTAATCTAATGGTGGAGCAGTGGGCTACACGTAGACTGAAATAGTAAAATATTTCCTGGCAAAGAGTTTCTAGTTATTCGTCATGAGTGTTCCTGTTGCTTTGGGCAAGGCTCCAGCGAGATTCGAACTCGCGACCTCCAGTTTACTAGACTGGCGCTCTAACCAACTGAGCTATGGAGCCACAGCGTGAATGTGATCAACTGCCACATGCCAGGTTGATGCCTACACTAGAGGCTGCATGGAAAAGATTAGAGGCTCCAATCCTGCATTATTTGTTAACCAGTAAGGCCTAAATTTAACGGGCGAGTGGGTTTTGATCCATACTCGAACTCATGGTTAAGATGTGTTTTGATGCAGTGTTTCTCAAGCTCAGGGTCCCTATTCTGATTGGTCAATTTCGAGCACCCTCATTGGCTGGAACGGTGGACCAGGAGAGCGTAGCCGCCATCGCAAGTGCACTAGTGTACTTACGAAAACCGCTTCCTACAAGCTTGTTCTGATTGTCAACTTCGCAAGCGCTGATTGGTCGAAGTGGTGGAGCGGGAAGGGAAACGGTTTGTAAAGTCTGTATGCACGCATAGCAGCCACGCTGCTTTATGTTACCCAGTACGCACAATACCTAATGCTCAGATGATATCTTCCTACCTCCTTCAATACGACGGCAGAGGTCGGGCATGTGCCCCTCTTAGCTCAAAAGTGCCCCCTCCCAAGCGCCTCCTTGCTGATCTGCGGCACATGGACTTCAAAAACGCCCTCCTGGTGGGGCACATGAACCACCACGAGAATCACTGCTTCTAATATAATAGAATATTGGCTCCATAGCTCAGCTGGTTAGAGCGCCAGTCTCGTAAACTGGAGGTCGCGAGTTCGACTCTCGCTGGAGCCTAGTTCAGACCGTGTGCCACGTGAAAAAACACTCAGGTACACCCGCAAACCTACTTTTCTAAGGTTCGCTAAGGGAAATCGTTTTTTGCCGTTTCGCACTTTACGGCTACAGGAATAGAATATCATCTCAGCGAAATGCACTGTGCTGTGAGTTTGAGCGGGTGTGACACAGTGTATCATGAAACTGCCTGTGCAGCTGCAAGATATCACATTAAGCTATTCTAACGTTACCAGACTGGCCAGAATCACAAGTACAGTAGAACTAGTATTATCTGGTTCCATTTTGCCATAGGGCGATTCGGTTAATGGATCCGTTCAAACAGTAGGGATACCGTGGAACAAAGGAGCACAGGAAAGGCTGCTACATTCAAAACTTAAGGCTTATTTTACCAGTCATTCCTTCAACAGATATAAGCACCTATTCCTTCAAAAAATTAGATTGTCACTTTACTTATCATTTTGCAACACCTGTTTAACTGTGTTGAACCCTGGGGGTTTATTTTAATGAGGTGCAGTATTTTGATACCATCCATCGGTTACGCTCTTTTCCATCATCGTGGAAGTCTTGAATCAAACTATGAAAGTAGCGCAGCAGAGAATGAGTAAGCGAAATGCAAGTGAATGTACATGACGTTTCACAGTTGCTCTTGTTGAGTCTTCAGCGAAGTTAGGGTGGTTATTACGCAGATCCGCAGTACACAGCAGTCCCTTCTGTTCATTCTAATAGGCCCATTACGGATAAAACTACTCAGTGGAGCTGGTTCTTTAAGCCCCAAAGCGTTACTTACAGCCTCACGTTTTACGCTGATATATAATAGCTCTGCAAAAGGTACATGAGGCAGTAACCAACTGCATTGCAGTTAACAATTCTAAATGAGTCATAAGAGCACGTTATGTCTTTCCGTAATTTCAGGAAGTATTAATAAGAAGGGAAATCCATTAATGCATTATTGCAGTTAATGCTCCTATGGTTTTCATGTGATTGACCACCTTGGGAAATTGATGTGCGCGGCTCCATAGCTCAGCTGGTTAGAGCGCCAGTCTCGCAAACTGGAGGTCACGAGTTCGACTGTCGCTGGAGCCTAGTTCAGAACCTGTGCCACATGAAAAAACGTTCAGGTGTGTACCTGAACGTTTTTTCATGTGGCACAGGTTCTGAACTAGGCTCCAGCGAGAGTCGAACACCGTGTGTACACTTGCAAACCTACATCTCTAAGGTTCGCTCTACTCCTTTATTATGCGGCTGTGAATTCCTCCCTCCTGGATGATATAACGTAAAGTCAATCTCATTTTTTTGATTGGCGGAAGTGAAACCCGTTGCATCAACAGAAAGTTACTAATATACATATGGAGGCACTCACGGGACAGTTCCACTGAAAATGGCTGCGTGAAGTTCTATACAAAGCTTTTTACAAATAATATTAACGCCGCTAAAGCACATGAAATTACAAGCTAAAGTAGGGAAATCCTAAACTCTGGGACACGTCATTACGCGCGCTTGACGATTTAAAACGGCTATTGCGTTTGCATTACCTCTTCTAGCGCTTCCAGAAATTAACAAAGAATGCTTTTACTATTACACCTCGGTAACTCATATTACCTGTCCTTATACAACGAACATAATGACGAAAAGCGTTTATAGGCGGCTCCATAGCTCAGCTGGTTAGAGCGCCAGTCTAGTAAACTGGAGGTCGCGAGTTCGAATCTCGCTGGAGCCTCGGAGAGGATCACCGCTGAAGTGTGGAAATGCCATGACGAAACTGGCTGATCACCATTTTGAAAATCTGCCAGGAAATCACTTTCGTCGCTCTGCGCCTTACCATAACGTAATTTGAATATCATCTGCACAGAGGATCCTTCAGAAGCCAATTTTGTGAGCAGGAAACAGTTATCTCAGTCTATTCTCGTACAAATATAACCGTGAACTGCTCCCACCTAGAGCATATGAAACATAGCGAATCTTATGTCTTCGTTGGCAGAAATGAGAGCATTTGGAGGAACAAAAATTTAGTAATGCGCGTATGCAGCCACGGATCGAAGACGGGTACATGTAAACGGTCAGTTTGTCCTAGTTGAGTTTTTTTTCAACAGTGGTATATTAATCTGTATATGTATTAGGACTAATAAATAGATGACCAGTTACGAAGCGAGAAATTTCAGAGGTATGTGCAATTCCATACAAAGCCTTTCAGAAATAACTTTAGTGCTGCTGAAGCAGATGAAAGTACAAACTCAAATCCTGAACTCCTTTACTCTGGAACATGCCATTACGCGCTGGAGGATCTCAAATGATACGCTTGCTTTAGGTATTCGAACAGTTTCATACGTTAATAAGGAATACCCCAACTATCATACTACAGCAGCTGATGTCACTTTTTCTTACACGGAGAACATTGTGGGGAAAACATGCTACACGTGGCTCCATAGCTCAGCTGGTTAGAGCGCCAGTCTCGTAAACTGGATGTCGCGAGTTCGATTCTCGCTGGAGCCTGCAGGACACAGCTGAAGGAGGAAGAGCCGTGATAAAACTTGGAGACGACCAACAAATCTGCCAAAAAACACTTTTGCCTCTTTGCTCCTTAGGGTACTGTACCTTGCTTATCATCTGCAGAGAAGATCCTTTAGTGTATAATGTAGCGTATAGGAAACAGTTAGTTCAGCCTGTTCTCTTCTTAAT